TTAACTTTTAACTTTTAACGAGTTAAATAAATAAGAAAACTAACTTTTAACTTTAAACTTAACTTACATTTTTCTGTTTTAACTTAACTTAACGAGTTAAAATAATTAGTTAACTTGCCCAGCCTTGAGTCAATTTATAATGAAAAAATTAACAACTAATCATATTGTTATTATATTGGTTCATATATTATTGGTTTATATTATTTTTGAATATAGTAATTTGTTAAAAAAAATATTCTCTTTGAATATTTTCATAAGTATTAAATTAAATTAAACTGTTTAAGCTTAAATGGGATGTTTTTCTATTGTATATTATCCCTGTGTTACACACATACTCAATATATGTACATGATATTTACTACAGTTTATTTATAGTTAATATTATTATTTTTTATTTACTATTAATAATTTTGCATATAATAGAGTTTGTAAAGAAGGAAATCACTGTGTTTGAGCCAAGATAATGATAACAAATTCATTCTACTCATTTTAAAATTAACATAAGTAAAAAAACACTTATACTGTTTATTTTCTCCTCTACACATTTGAAAGTATGAAAATTTGATTTAATATTAACAATAAATTAACTAGTGTATATTAATTTATTGTGGGAGCATAAATTATACTTTATATAGTGCACTTTATACATGGAGCTATTTAGAGCCATAAGAAAATGTCTAGTTTTCTTTTTAATTATTGTTATTGAAAAAAAATTTTCACTCGGTCCAAAAATTCGAGAATCTTCTCGTTATTATTAGTGGAAATTAAAAAAAAAAAATTCAAGTGTAAATCCACAGTAATATTTTACGAGAATTTGAGGTTATTGTTTTTTTTWAAAAATATTTTTACTTATTTTTTTGACTATCGAATTATAAAACTAACTTTTTCACTCTCTCAAAGGTTATAGTTTCAGACTGTATAAGTGACTGTCTATATTTATACATTATACCTAATCTTTTTCAGTTAAGGGGCCTCATGTATTTTTTTTTGTTAAAAACTAGTGTTTCTTATTAATTCATGTATCATACGAGTCAAAAGTTATCACGAATTTCATTTAGAAAAATATTCTCCGAAATATGTAAAAGGAAACGATCGAGCCACATTTTGGGTCAGAAATTATGCGAATCGCGGTAATTGTATATAATTTTTWTTTTGACCACAAAATTGTTGTCTGATAAAATTGKGGAAAACAGGAGGAACCACGGGCATGATGATAAAATACATTTTTATAAAGGACATAGAAACGCGAAGAGAGAATTCACACAGCAATAACACTCAGATGTGAATGATTGTATTATGATTAGACTAMATTTTATATTATATTATATTATTAAGTGACATTAATCTTGTTTTTTAATTCTTAAACTAATYCACGGCATCAGTGACTTTTAAGCCTTTATAATTTATAGGATTATAATTAGGGTTGCCATACGTCCCGGAAAACCGGGACTGTCACCGGTTTTCGACTTTGTGTACGCC